TATTTTTGCAGATAATCTTGTAGCTAAGGGATTACATATTCTTCACTAAGGGAAGAATGTAGGATGGGTCCAAAGCCTTGAAAGTGTTTTGCCAATTACATATAAAAATAAAAGCAAAGGCATGAACCCTGCTCTCTCTTGCTCTCTCTCTTCCCTCTCCACCTCCCTCTCTATCCTCCCTTATTCCCTCCCTTTTAATTGAAGGAAAGACAAAAAGAATTTGGGAGTTAAGAAAAATATGATGTCTTGAGACCCAGTAGCTTTTGTATTTTGTTGGAAGGGCATACCCCATACTGATGCTGACTGGGTACAACTTGGTAATTATATATTAAACAGAGAACTCCCAAGAGTTTCTAACTGTAAGTTAAATAAAGGCTTTGGACAGAGGCACTATCCTTGCTGAACAGGATATGGAGATTTTGAAAAATGGACTTAAAACCTATAGAAACTCTTTAGCTATTGGGGGAGGGAGGGACGGCAAGTCTTTCTGTGTTCCAAAGATCTTGTTCCAGAACATGGGATCTGCTTTTACAGAGTAAATACCTATTATAAGCAAGGCTCTGAGAACCATTATACTTTTTATGAAGAAAGAAAAGCCAAAAAGCTAAGGGTTTTTTTTTCCTTTTTACCTCTAATCCAATAACTGAGTATATAAAGACCTTACCCTTCTAAAAAGAACTATAGCTTAAACATGTAAGTATTCAATTAAGAGAGAGACAGCACAGCCTAGTATCCCTTTTTGGAAGAAAAAGGTAGCATCTTAGCTAAGGACTGTAATCTGAAGCCAGAAATAGAAAGTGGAAAGACATCCCGCCTAGAAACAACCTAGAGTAGCCCCAAAACCAATGCAGTACCATCTAACCAATAAGACTTGTATGGAGCAACACCAAGAGAGACTACATGCCATTATCTCATTCCTGGTGGAGAACAAATGTCACATAACACCAGAAAGTAGACCCTGTGGGAGCAGTGTGCTGACAAGAAACATTGGTAGTCCTTTTGCATCAGTGATATAAGTTGTCCCACTATATATACCCTGGCCAAATGTATTCCGCACATGCCTCCCCACAAATGTTCCTTGGATGTTCACTCTTCCCACTGATGGTGTGCATACTGTGAGAAAGTGTGCCCTCTATGTTTAAGGGGGAAATGTCCTGTTTTTGCTACTTTTCTTATTATGCTATTTCATTAAATGCTTTTACTTTGAAGTAGTTCTATCATTTGGTGGACCAAAAAAGATAAACAAATTGATGGGGGCTCATAAACAATAGTTTTGAGCAAATACAGACACACAAAATACTTTGAACATATGGTTATCTTTCCTTTTAAGTCTTCAATCATTAACCTCTAAGGGAAATAGAGATACTAATGTTTAACTTTTGCTTTTCTAATCTGCCTTAACTTGTTTTTTTTTTTTCACATTTAGTTTGCAATTTTAGATTGATTTTTATAAAAATTTCTTTATTGTCCCACTTTGTTTCCTGAACCATCAAAATAAATATAAGTTCTGAGGAGTTTGAAATGTTAAGAAATAGAAAAAAAACATAAAAAGAAACAAAGTTAAAGCACCTAACACAGTGTGTTGAATGAAGTATGTACTTAACAGTTGCCAAATAAAAAAACAAAATCTCTTCAGACACTGTCGTTTAGCACAGTGCCCGGCACAAAGTATGTACTTAATACTTAATAAATGTTTGTTGACTGACCAATACAGTCATTACATTTTGATTATCAATGAAAACAAAATAATCCAGCTCCACAGTATTATGTAATCAAAGGTCACTGAATCAAGTGTATAAAGCTGAGTTTATGATAATGCCAAATTTAAATAAACCCAGGGACTTAGATCCTAACCCAAAAGGACCACATAATTTACACTAACATTGGTATTAACACTGGTAAAGGTTCAGTTAATTCTTGATTTGAACCAGTCTTTAATACCATAGTATAAAATCAGGAAAGTTCAAAGGTTTACATACTAATCAATAGACTGCAGAAGGGGTAATTCTGAATCAACTGCTAAGAGGTTTTTGCTTTGCTTTGTTTTGTTTTAGCTTTGGTTAGCCCCTTACTAGTCAGAAATGGACCTGGTTTACCTATGGAGGCATATGAATACTTGTTACATATATGCTTCAAAACTATTACAAGTAGGAAAGGACCTCCTAGACTCATTAGTAGACCAGACAGATCCAGACCTGAGTTGAACTTCTAGGGACTAGCAGAGCCCTCTAGTGTCCTAAGGGTTGGAGTGAAAATACAGTATGGCCTAGTACATCCTTCTTTATGAAAATTCTGGGAATTAGAACATGGTAGCTAACTCATCTTTACAATGTGAAAGGGAAACTTAGCAAATAAAGGCCAAAATCCATACTAATTGGTTTGATACAAAAGAAATAAGATTAAAGTCACAAATAGTAGTTGAAACACCTTTATTTCATAGTGACAGCAATACTATATTAACTAGTCCTTTCAAGGATGTTACAGAGTATTAAATAGATGAGCCTTCTCCCCCTTAAATCACAGTAACACTGAGTCAAAATACCTCATCAGACATCTTCTAACTACATAAATAATAGGCTTGGTATGAGAAATATTCAGTTGAATTTTAATCCATACATTATTGAATGTATTTAAAAACATTTAAAGAAAACAATTGAACAATAGTTCGATGGATTTAATTAACAAACTTATAGAATATCACACTTATCTGAAAGTCACTTATATAGTCATTACCTCACATGTATAATATTGGCTAAGTCACTTAACCTCTCAGGGATAAACTAGATAGCACCTAGTCCATCATCTGAGATCTGTTCCAGCTCTAAATTTATTATTCTATGATCCTAAATTATACATACCCATCATAGAAAAGAACCAAGAAGACAACAAAGAAAGGTCTCTTGGCAATAACAACAACAACAACAACAAGACACACACACACACACACACACACACACACACACACACACGCAAAAACCCAGTCATGATGTCATAGCATGTCAGTACATTATAAAGTATTGGCTCTTATTTTATAAGATTGTAGCATTCCTAATTATCTAGGTTTACAGCTCCTGCATATTAGAAGTGGAACTAAGAATTGACAGCTGACTGTAAATTCTAGAAAATGTGTGTGTATTAAAAAACAAGTTAAGTTTAAAAAAAAAATTGCAATCCAGCATTGTTTAGTGTAGAGGAAAACTCCTTAATATACCATGATAGTAGCCTCAGGATTTCATTGAATTACAGAACAGTACAATAATTTATATTCATGATGCTGACCAACAGGAAGATGTTAAAATTATGTGTAGAACACTATTTAAGAAGCATGTCATACATTTTGGCAAGATTTCCATCAGAAATTTTTAAAAGATTGCCACTTAAGATGGCAAGCTTTGGTTATCTATAAAATTCATTTATGTGGATCATCTCATTCTACCAAGGTGTCAGATAAATAAGGTGTTACTGAATATAAAACACATGATACATTTTATATTAAAATACAGCACCTTTCATCAGTGTACGATTGAATGGATAAAACATTACTAAGGTGAAACACTAACAGGCAATTGTAAGGCAAAATCTTAAATCAGCTTTGTTCATAATTGGGATTTTCCATATTTTGAACTAAAAACTTTATTGGTCAGTAAGTTGAATCAATTATAAAACCTTCAAAAACAACTGGAAATGTGCATTATATAGCTTAATAGATCAGCAAAGATGTCTCTTGTATTTATTTTTTAGTTCGCTGTTTGGTGACCTAAACTCACCAAAACTAGATTAAAGGTTACTGAAGCCAACTATTAAGAACTGACACCTTCCCATACTATTCCTATTTTTGCAAATTATACCTTCATCTCAGTTTTGAAATGAGGGGAAAACAGGGCAGCCTAATAGGGACTTTCAGATGTCTGATCACATGACAATGACAGGTATGTAGAATTAAAACAAATTATAAGCCATAATCAATAGAAATAAATAGGATATCGAAACAGATTTGATACACAAAGCTGCCAATACCTGCAAAAATAAAATGAGCAGGCAAAAATGATTATCACAAATCTAGGAGATGTACCTTACTATAAAGGTGACCTCTGAGGATGGAATGAATCTAAGGATGAACTCCAGCAAATTAGAAGAAGCAACTCTGCAAAGGACTATTAGTGACTAATGGTTTTTTGGCTGACCTTTGAACTCCTGAAGCAATTCAATTATAAAGGAAATTCTGCCTCTGTGCTTTAGGTTGTATTTTTTTTTTCATCTTTAAAATGGATGTAATACTAAAGATCCCTAACTTCTTCAAAGGGGTCATATAAAAGAGAGTAAGATAATCTCTGTAAGTGACCCCAACTTCTTCAGGAAAAGAAGCAAATTAGATACAACTTCACTGGAATAGCAATATTATCACACTTATTTTTGGAAGTAGGCTGTCATTTGAAAAGTCCAGGTACCACATATTAATGGAAAAGCCAAAGTAACTTCCAGGTTTTGGCCTTCATATTTTTCTCCCAGAACAACTGCTGAATGATATAGCAAGAAAACAAAGGGAAATTACCCTAAGAAACAAAAATCAAGCAACAAAAATACAAGAAATAAAAGTTCACAATTGAAACCTTGCCACAAAAAGTACAATAACTTTAAAATATATTGGTGCATGAAGTCAAATGAAAGTTTGAATGTTAAAATAAAGAATAATCTTCTAAAACTTATCAATGATGGTCCAATTTTCTATCCTAAGATGACTTCAAAGTTATCTCCCAAACGTTTGGTTAGGAACACCACTAACATGCTTCATTTATGTTTTGCTTATTTTGTCTTCCTCTCATAGGATAAAGCAGTACTGGACTGTGGTTTTTAAGAAATAATTGTATTGCCTTCATTTTTTCAAAGTGCTTTCACATCTATTATCTGACTTGATCTAGGTGGCACAGTTCATTTCCAGCCTCAGGTACTTCCTAACTGTGTGACCCTGAGCAAGTCATTTAACCTCTGTTTACCTCAGTTTCTTCATCTATAAAATGGGGATAATAATAACACCTACCTTCCAAGGTTGTTGTGAAGATAAAACAAGATAATATAAAGTTCTTAGCATTGTCTGACATATATTAGACACTTAATAAATGCTTGCCTCTTTCATTCCTTCCCAACAACCCAATAAGGTTGGTAGGGCAAGTCTTACCCCTCTTAACATATAAGAAAATTAACATTAGTTAAGTGACCTGAGTCAGTCAAGACTATAACTCAAGTCTCCTAATTTCCAACCTAATGCTCTGCTAAACAGCATGGATTTAGCTAGAATATCAGAATATAAAATGGTTATTATAGGATAGATAGCAAATGTGTTTCTTTTGAGGGTTATGAAAAGGATATCAAACCATCATAATGTATGCACTATAAAGGTAATTTGTTTTCAACATAATCCAACAGCATGACTACCACAGGCCATCTCAGGTTCAAAATGCAATTCCTTAGTTTATATAAGAGTTGAACTTAAATTTACTAATCCACATGATCTTATGGCTATAGTGATGTTCCATGCACATAGAAGACCAAGATTCAGTCTTCTTAAACAATTCTTGTTGCTTTTATGGCACAAGAGAATTATAGAAATAATTCTAGGAATCACTAATTAGCAAAAATTATCCTAAACATTGTATCTTTTTCATTTTCAAAGTAAAATTCAAATTGAAGAACTTATCCCCAAGAGTTGCATTTTCTATAACAAATGGAAAAGGAACTGTACTTCCAGAAGAGTATATCCTTTTAAATACTTGTAGAAGGCTAGTGCCTTTTCTTCAAGCCATCCATGTTGTATCCTTGAGCCCTTCTCACTCTACGGCTGGAATACCCAAAGGTTTTGGAAATGCAGTGGCAACAAAGGCATTGTTTTCTTGGAACCGCAGACATGGACTCAACTCCTCCTTATAAGGCAAAGAAAGCAAGCTTTATCGTCTAATAAATACACACTTCTAATCAATAGTTAATTTGCTCTTTTTTTCTGTAGCAACTCAAGAGTCATTTGAATTCTATGACAACGGGTCATTCTTGAAGAAATTACATTTCTGTCGAGTAATGATCTTAAAATAAAGTTAGCACCTCCCTTTAAGTCTAACTTCCCAATACTAATAGCTAAATGAGGAGTAAGAGATAGCTCAAATTGGGATCTTAATCATAGTGATAGTACAGAATCTTGCTATGTTATCAAATTCCAATAAGCACTGGTTCTCTCAGCTGTCAGAAGCATGAACAAACTGATGCCAGGACTATTTGTTTTATTCAAAACTGAAAAGGAATCAAAAACATGTCAAATGGATTTGTCAGTAGCAGTGCCACAAGCAAATTGCTTGGTGAGATTTATGTATCTTTATTTTAGCCCATGATGAAACAACCTTTCCAGCTTTCCCATACCCACTTAAAGAGTAGGCCAGGTTGTTCAAATGAGTATCAGCTGTACTAAAGTCCCATCAAAACTAAAAACTCTTTATAGAATCCCAGAACACGAGCATCATACTTAAGAGTAGAAAGTGATATTATTTGGCAGTAAGATAAAGAGTAGGTTTAAGAGTATAGGCCTCACTATCCACACCCAAACAAAGAACTATGGAAGCTGAATTGTTATTTTTTCTCTTCTATTGAGTTTTGTTTCCTCTTTCTGATGGTTCCTCCTATTGGTTTTAATTTCTACTTACAACATCACTAATGTGAAAATATGTTTAATATGAATGTAAATGTATAGTCTATATCAGATTGTGTGCCGTCTTGGGGAGGGTGGCGGGGAGGAAGGGGGAGAAAATTTTTAAACTCAAAAGCATATGGAAGTGATTATTGATAAATCAAAATAAATTAATAAAAATTAAAAAAAAAAGAGTATAGGCCTCACCAGTTACAAATGAGAACAGGGGTAGTTTAAAACCATGGATACAACTAACAATTTTAAACAAGCCATACAAGTTTGTCCTATCACACAAATTTAATCAAAACTACTAACAAGTTGCAAAAGATAATAAAGTGGATTGAACATCACATCTTCCATTTTTTTTTTGTTTATGCTCCATAATAAATGATATCAAATGAGTAAGGAAGACCAAAAGAGAAGGCAACCTCCAGGGCCCAATTCCAGGATCTCTCAATAGTTAGAATTGTGATTAGGGATTATTTAATTCATTGCATTTGTATACCTAGTACCTAGGACACTGTCTGTATGCCATATAATAGGTGCTTAATAAATTCTTCTTGATTGATATTGATATACAATAATTATACAGTCATATCTGTAAGTTCTTTCAGTATCCTGGAATGTACTTTATTATCTGGAATTAGAAACAAGCTTATGTAAAGCAGCTAGGTTCTGTCTCCAAGAACTAAATAAGCTTGTTTTCTCTCTGTCATCTGTTAATATCATACCAATCACCTCAAACATAAAGACCCTTTTCCATTCCCCTTCTTACTCTAAACAAGGTTTTAAAAGCCCCCTTCATTATTCTTAGCAATTTCATGAGGCCCAGTTCACTGTGGGTCTTTTGCTTTCTTGAGAATTTTCTTGCAAGTTCATACCACGTTCAGAGTTGCAGAGCTATAGCAAGTTGTCCACTATTCAAATTCAGCTGTGATCCTAAATCTTGCCTAAGAACAATACAAACTAAGAATATTGAACAAGTGTACTACACATGTGAGGTGGACTTCAGAGCACAGAGCTACAGCTCTGGATCCATAAAACTTACTATAAACCGATAGAGAAAGTGATCCAGACTTTGTTTTTGATACTTACTGATCATTCTTTATTCAGGTAAAGGGGTCCCACATTGTTCTTTCAGAAGAGTTTCCATTATTCTAATTCCCTGTGAGAATAAGGAAGAAAGATCAGTATGCTATATTTAATATATACATACTTTCATGATTATCATACCCTTTTCCTTCAAGGAGTCCAAGGCTATTAATATATAGTCATGTTTTCCATCAAAGAATTAGGTTCATCATAATGCCACAAATATAGAATTTCTAATCCATCAACAAGTTATTTGACAGGCATGGTGCTCAATACTGTGGATACAAGTATTAAGAATGAAACAATCCATAGCCAGAGGGAGCTTACATTCTAATGGAGAAAACAAGTACATATATAAATATATACAGCATAAAAATGAAGTGGAAAAATATGAACAAATATGAAGTAATTAAATTCAATGTAGTTCAGGAGGGAGAGCACTGGAGGTTGGGGCAGATCAGGAAAAGTCTCATGTGTAATATGTTGCTTAAGGTGTGTGTTAAAGAAAGAGAGGGACTGGGGCAGCTAGATCACAATGGATAGAGTTCTGGCCCTGCATTCAGGAAGACCTGAGTTCAAATCTGGCCTCAGAAACTTGACACTTACTAGCTGTGTGACCCTTGGCAAGTCACTTCACCCTATTGGCTTGCAAAAAAAAAAAAAAAAAAAGAAATAAAGAAAGAGAGGGACCCTAGAGGCAGAGGTAAGGAAGAAGTGAAGCTCTGACACAGATGGTAATGAGGCTGGAAAAACTAATGAAGGAAAGAAACAATGAAAATGTCTCCTCTTCCTCCCTTTTCCTCTAGCTGTTGCAAACATCTAACTATAAAACAAAACTGTAAATCTCTACCCACTTAGCCTTGCCTCCATAAGGAGGTTGGATCTGGAAAACACAAAGAGCACACAGCTACCTTAGTGTGGTATCTGAAGTAAAGAGAACTTTGTCCTGGGAATCAGAAAAACTATGTTTCAGGCCCTGCACTCCAGCAGAGCCTGGGGGCAAGTCACTTCTCAGAGCCTCAAGTTCCCTCTACAGCATATGAGGACATTAGACTAGATGATCTCTAAAGACTCTTTTAGATATGAGACAATATTCTTCTGTGAGAACCATATAGGAAGGAATGATGTAACAAGGAATATAAAAAAAAAACTGAAGATCAGTGAGAAAACAAATTCTATCATGGGGAGATGCTAACAAAGCTGTACTTCACTGTCCAGTCAAGGAGAGTAAAATATGGAAACAGCCTACCTTGCTACCACTGTTTCTTTCTTGGCACATTTATCACAAGGCCATGAATCAGTGGGGTAAGAGAAAGACCTCTCGTAGGAGAAACTAAAAAGAGTATAAACTGAAGAGATAGAGACTAGATCTGTGACTTCATTGATACAGACAATTCCCAGAGAAGCAAATTCCTCCCCATGCAGGCCACCACACCTTCTCTGAAACTTATAATCTTCAGAGAGTTATCTAGAGCACTAGGAGTTTAAGTGATTTGTCCAGATCACACAGGAAACATTTGCCAGAGACAGAAAAGTATAAACAATAATATAATTAAAATTAGGTCTTGAGGAAGTCAAAGGCTAGATGTAGGGAAAAGAAGGAAAGGCCAGATGTCTTTCCTTTATTGGGAGAATTAAGGGTAAGCTTAAAAAGGCATGACTCAGATGGAAGAAACTACAGAATGAATGGATGGATGGATGGATAGATGGATGGATGGATGGATGGATGAAAAAGTAGTTATCAAGCTTACATTAAGACCTACAAGAAATACTGAGTACTGGAAATACAAATACAAAAATGAAGGCAATCCCTGTCTTCAAGGTATTCTTATACTTATAGAGGGAAGCAATGATACAGGAGAGTGGTGTCCAGGTGGGGATGTTTTGGTTTGGAAAGTTAAACAGATGCTGAGTGGTACCATAGAGCCAACAATTTATCTTGTCTAGAACCAAGGAGAGATGGTATGATTATGGCTCTAAGCAGGGAAGGGAGAAGGAAGGAAGGTTGTGAAGGGTGATTCAAGATAGCATTCTGGTGGTAAGAAGATTGCCTGGAAGTGAAGTATGGTTGGAGCCTTGCCAAGATGTAGTGGTCACCTGAGGCAACCATCAATCAGGATAACAAGAATTAAAGGATAAAAGCATTAAATCCTCCAGGACATTTTTTAATTTTGGTGTTCTGAAAGCTAGGGAGATGATGGACAATAGTTATGGATCAATCAATCTAATAAGCAAGGGTTAAGCATCTACTCATGTTAGGCCCTGTACCAGCCACTGGGGAATACAAAGAAAAAATGAACTTTTTCCCCTATAAAATGCTAGTGCCTTGAGGGCAGGGACATTTTTTAAATTTTTTTTAATCCCCAGCACTTAGCACCACACCTTAAATAGAGAAGGTGCTTAATAAATGCTTACTGATTGAATGATTATTCTGTTCCAGTGCTCTAGACTCTGGAAAAGTCAAGGGATCATACAGAAAATTCAAAGAAATTCAATTGGACATAATACTGAACAAATTTCTAGGATAATCCACAAGGCAATGTGACAACTTATGTGGTCATCACTAGGAATAGTAATTACTTTATTAGCAAGACCCAATGCCAATTATAGAAACTTCTGGCTGAATAAGTGACAGATATCACCAGAAATTTGGGGAGATTCTCTAAAATAAATGCTGAAGACATACTGTACACCACATAGACCCTGGGTCAGTTTCCTTCCAAAACAAAAAGAAATGGGAGAGAATAAAATAAAATTTCCAGTGCTGGAGAAATGCTCTCAGTTCTTATTCAGGTAAGGACCTATAACTTTTAGACAGTTGTAATTTGGGACCTCAACCTGCTCTACTTCCCCCCTAAAAAAAAAATTTATACAAAGACAGCCATGTGTGCTGTTATAAGCTCAATAAAGACAATACTAATTTCACAGAAACTTTTCAAAATCCTTTTTTTTTTAAATTTTACACATAAATTTAGATGATCTTTCTTTAAAAAAAAAAACAAAAAACAAAGCATGCTTCTTCCACAGAAAGTGAGAGATGGGTGAACTGTGCCCATCTGTCTAAATAAAGAAGGCCGCCATTTACAGAACAGAGCACTAATTAACATAAGTGAAGCCTCTCAGGTTTGCCTTGGGAATTAAAAAACATTATTTACTGAATCAATTATGTTCATAATATGACAGCTGATTTTTCTCTTTTTTTTTCCCCTTTCCACTACCATTTTAGTCTGAATGGTTAGGCAAGTAGAGTGAGACCAAATCTATTAAAAAAAAAAAACCTTTAATGGAGCAGGGCAAGCAATTGCTTAGGATCTTTTCAGTAAGAAATATCAAAGTCTGACTACAGAATTCCCTTGCTTAGAGACCTTAAGTGGCTCCCTATGACCTCTGGGATAAAATGCAAACTCCTCAGTCTGTCACGTAATGTGGAAACTCTCTACAACCTGGCTTCACCCTACAATTTCACCTGTAATTCATCTAACTCTCCTCACATACCATATTTTATCAAGTCTGACTTACTAGTTGTTTGTTGAATTTATCATCCCATCTTGCACCTTTCTGGCTTTTCTCAGACTTTCCCCAATGCCTGGTATGCACTCACCTTCATCTCTGCCTCATAGCATCCTTAACTTCCTTTAAGGGTCAGTTCACCTATTAAAAGGTGTCTTCCCTCATGCCACACCCACAAACCTCTATCATTAATGCTCTCCCCTCATCAAATTGTTGGTCTAATACAGGGATAAGAACACTGCATGTGGAGTCAAAGGACCTGGGTTCAAATGCCACCTCCATTACTTGTTATCTCTGTGACATTGGAGAAGGAACTTAAAAGTTCTGTGGCTCAGTTTCCTCACCTGTAAAATGAGGGAGTTGAACTAGAGGGCCTCTAAGGTTCTTTCCATCTCTTAAATCTAAGATTCTTTATTGTATCCCACCACATCCCTCCAGTAGAATGCAACTTTCCTGAAGTTTTATTTTTGCCTTTGTATCCCCAATGCCCAGCACAGTGACTGGTACATCATGGGTACTTAATAATACTTGTTGCATTGAAATGGTCAAAGGTAAAAATCCACTTGATACAATTCTTCCAAATAAAGTTCAAACACCTAAATCTCTACCTACGGAGATCCAACTTAAGGGCACTAAATCATACCCTTTATAATATGTTGCTGCACTTCCAATACAGAACAAACATTGATGCCTCACTAAAACATCCTCCTTTATATAGATATGGCTTAAAAGCTTCTTGACTGACAAACCATAAAACAATTTATTTTATTATTCTCCTTCCCCTTGGAGGATTTTTTGTTTTATGACAAAGCAATCTTTCTCCATTTGCAAAAGAACATGGAAGTGGGCTATCTCATAGACTCATTTCCCTAATGCTGCAGAGCAGCATTTGCCAAATATACCCTCCTGAAAGAACTGCAGAGCTTTTAAGATGCAAAAACACTTTACAAGCTTCCCATTTTAAGAGTCCCTAAGCAATAACTGATCATTACTGAAAACTCAAAGGCTGCCTAAGAGAAAGATCAGGGAAGTTGGGAACTAAAGTCAGCTAAATCTAGGTCAAAACCCTTTTCATAAATATCAACATGATGCTTTCTTGAGAAAACCAGGATTTATATAGGAGGTCCCCAATAGGATCATTACATCCAATGAGGAACCATAGGTTTTCAAAAGCAGTCTTTTAGAGGTATTTCTGAAGGGAACTCTTAACAAAATGGAAATGTTCATTTAATTATCACTATGATAACAAATCGGTGCATAAGACCCCTCTGGAAATCATGCTTTCTTGCTGGTCATTGCTTACAGAGGGTGTAATCTGGCCTACTGTTATTAGTCTTTAAGAGCTTGGACTTCTGAATAATAAGTAGTATGATCGTGGGAGCTAATTATTTCAGAGAAGCATTGTAATGGAAAGCACCTTTGGTCCCCTATCATGCTAAAGTCTCTAATTATGTACTTTGAGGAACAATACCTGCTAATGTAAAAGCCAATGATGATGATAATAAAAATAACAGTTCAAATTTGTAGAGTACTTTAAGGTCTGTAAATGGCCATGCTCATAAC